TTACTCTTTTCTGATATTTGTGCTCTGATCTTCAAGTTATTTTTAACTGTTACCTATTTTTTTTTACCTTTAAATCTTCATTTTTATGAGGTTTATTATTTGCATGGCACTTGCATTATAAACCAGTAAAATCTTATTTATACCTGAGTCAAGTCATGAAAACACACTGTGAAACATCGCTTATTGATTAGCTGATTATAAACCTTCCAACCACATTTCTTCATCCTCCTTTTACAGCTCTTTTCCAATCATTTCCTCCAAATAGTCACTTCCAGGATTGTATTTTTTCCATCTGTGGGGCTTTTACTTTGAAAACCGGAGGCGGATGTGCTGCCCAGTAGACCGTCTGACTTGACGCGGTGGCTTTAAATGGGAAAACCCTGCATGCAGCTGAGGGAGTCTCCTTTAATAAATCTGGATGGTGACAGGCTGGTCCACTGCTGCCGGAGCCGGGCACCGAGCCTCCCACCCCCGCCTGTGTGTCCAGCACCGGTAGGCCTGGTTCTCCGTCTCTCTGTCTCTCTGTCCCCTTCCTCTCTGTGGTTGTATTGTCTTCATCTTTCCTGCTGCAGCTCTAATGCACCCGGTCAGACTAATGCCTCCTGACAGAGCCGCGCTGTAATGACTTGCATTGGTCAGCTCTCGTACACGAATAGCTGTGCAGGGTTAAAATTAGAGCTGCTTACAGTGTGTAGATATGTTGCTATTAATAATGCAGCTGCCGTGGGAGAGAGAGGGAGGGAGGGAGGGAGGGAGGATGCAGGCTTATGTGCAACCTCACTGACTGCAGGTTACAGGACGTTCACCAGACCAGCTGCTTGCATGTTATGACACTGACTATCAGCTGACTGAATAAAATGGTGTGCAAGCAATGCAAACACACAGCCTATCCCCTGCAAACCCAGAACATTACACTCAAATACATTCCATTCCATTTCTAAGCAACTAAATATATTTGATTTTGATAAACCCTTTACACACAACGGTTGATTTTTCATGGTCAAAATGTTTTTTTGGTCAATGTCAACCGGTCCTTATGATGCCTGCTGAGGCCTGGACACGTGTGACCTCTGCTGCAATGATTCATGGGTCATTGTAAGAGACGGTTTAAATTGACTGAGGTTGCGCAAGATGCTTGTCAAACAGGGCTGATCTGGCTTTGTAATCTTAACCCTGTCACAGCATGTCATCCCAGTTATGGTGAGATTACGGTTAGTTAGGCCTGAGGCACTGTGGTGTTAAAGAGGATATTTGGTGTTTCAGTCCCGCTGCTTCTGGTGCAAGAAGTACTGTCACCCTTGGATTACTATAAATAAAGAGGCAGAATGTTTTTGTTTTTTTAAATCCCTACAAATAGAATAAAAGTGCACAACAGGGCACTCATCATGTGATCATTATTCATATTATTTCATTTTAGGTCGTTCTTATCGCAGTGATTTGTGCGTTCACATGTTAATGTTTCCGTTAAGTTTGGTTTGAAGTTGTTATTTGATGCTGAAACGTCATGACTCACAACTGAGACTGACTCACGATTGTATCGACGGTGCCTTGGCTCCAATGTCTCAATCACTATTGTGCAGACTCTGGCTCTAAATGCACAAGATGGCAGAGTTCATATCCTTTTATTTCTAGATAGTGGGAGGAAGTGGAGACGCCTCGTCCGTTGTTTTTTACAGTCTATGTTCACAACTCACCCAGATACTAAAATGTTGAAGCATCAAAATGATTTTTCACTCTATTTTAATTGTTCTCATAAATTTTTCTCATAAGTTTTTCTTTCGTTTTTTTCTGGCCATAACTCCCCTTTGACCAAATTTGTCCTTCCGGCATTTTGGCTTTTTAGTAGGAGTTAAAAAAAGAGAAATTATTCCTTAGAAATATAATTTAGTAGAAGTGTTAAGCAATCTAAAATTCCTCAAAAGTAGAGATTGAAATTGTCCAGCAGAATAGAGGGTTAATTTGCTTTCTACACCCGGCCACTGCCGGTTTGTCATTCCCACTCATATTTGTTCCACTTATGGTAAAAGTATGCTGTGACATAACAACTCTCCCTCACTTGAGTCACAGCATGTAACAGGGAGGGCCTTGAGCTACAAATATATCGGCTATGTAAATATGGAGCTGGCACTGGTCTGAGATCTGGAGGAGGTATATACAAATAAATAAGTTGGGAATTTCCTTTTTTGCCGCTATCCAGGAACAAGCAAATGTCTGTGTGGAGAAGATAGGAAGTGTACAACTATGTGCTGCTTATCAGATTCTTCCTCTGTGATTTGGACTATTCAAGATGTTTTAGGGACTTTAAGGTTTTACGGTTGTTTTTTAACATCCTGTTTACATTTCAGAAGTTGTGCGAGTGCACATAGGCAACTGGACAATAACAAACAGAACAACATTGTGATTCCTTATGTTGCCCGAGTCTCTAAAAAACGTTTCTACAAGCACCACATACCTGTGCTCTTCAAGACCAGACACAACGGTTCACTTACACCTCAAGGAAAAGGGAATCTTCACAGACATCCTGTTTACACGTTGCTTTCGTCTTATTTAAACTTAGCTTCCTTCCGTTCCTCTTGTAAATATTTGTCCCCATGTAGCCTCTGCCCTAATTAAGAGTATTTATGTTTAGATGTTTCCTTAATGCATGTGTGGTTACGTGCTCAGTGGCATCCAGCCATTATTGTTTATTTTTAGAGGAAGCATTGCCAATTTAATGCTACTGTGCTGTTTAAAACTTTTCCTGACAGTGTATAATTTCCTGTTCTCAGAGAGGGACGACTCTGCACGGACCAAAGATGAACACTCCATCCAACATGACCCACGCCGCGCCACAGGACCAGCGCTTTTTGGTGTTGTTTGACTTTGATGAGACCATCATCAATGTGAGCAGCGATGACGCTGTGGTGTGTGCTCTGCCGGGCCAGCGTCTCCCAGACTGGCTGAAAAACTGCTTCAGGGAGGGGCACTACAATGAGCACATGCAGAAGGTCCTGGCCTACATGGCAGAGCAGGGTGTGTCCGAGGACGGCATTCGTTCGGTGCTGGAGAAGATCCCACCAACGCCCGGCCTCCTCAATCTCTTCCAGTATCTGCAGAGCAACCAGCAGGACTTTGAGCTAGTGGTGGTCTCCGACGCCAACATGTACTTCATCGAGACGTGGCTGGAGCATGCCGGGGTGCGTCCCCTTTTCCGGAAGGTCTTCACAAACCCGGCTAGTTTTGACGCAGCCGGCCAGCTCGTGCTGCTCCCTTTCCACTCCCACTCATGCTCCCGTTGTCCTGACAACATGTGCAAGCAGGTGATCGTGCAGGAGTATCTGGCGCACCGGCAAAAGGAGCGTGGTGGTGAACCCTACCAGAAGGTGTTCTATATTGGTGACGGGGCCAATGACATCTGTCCCTCTATGGCTCTGGGGCCCAGGGACACAGCATTCCCCAGGAGGGACTTCCCCATGCACAGGCTGCTGCTTGGGATGCAGCAGTCGCAGGCCGCCAAGTTCAAGGCAAACGTTCTTCCCTGGGCCAGTGGTGAGGACATAGTGGACTACCTGAAGAAGATAGTGAAGGAGAGACGGGATGTGTGTGTGTAAAAGAGAGGGTGAAAGAGGGGGGGGCAGATATAGTAAAGGTGCTGGTGAGCTTCAGCATATGCATGATTTTACCTCAGCCACACTTGGTACAACTTTCTAAAGTTGTAGCCTTTCAGTGTGAATCTATTTGAATGTAATGTTTTAGAGGAGTAGTTTGAGATTTTAGAAAATATGCCTTTTCTCTTTCCTTCTGAGAGCTTGATGAGCAGATCAAGTTCACACTCAGTAACTGATACCAGCAGCCGGTTAGCTTAGCATAGCACAAAGACTCAAGCTCATTAAAGTCATTTTGGAAATTTCTGAATTCTCTTGCCTTTCCCTTATGATGAGGGCTGCAGCAGATTCTGCTGTTCTGACATAACCCTAACAGGCAAGAGCATGCAGGAGGCTGGACACGAATTCCCTTGTAGAATCTTGTCTTTGTTTACAGCACGTTGTCTGCCCTTCATCATCAAAAGCATCTTGAATCTTGTTGTCTTTCCAAGTCGACATCTTTGTCGGTGTCTTCTACACACCTCTTCTCCATCTTAAGTTATTTGTAGTCTTTTGGTTCTTTTCAGTTTCAAGTGCGGCACATTTTCTCAGCCCACTGGAAATTTCACTCGGGGGGGAGGTGCAGGAAAAGTTCTGGAAAATGTCTGAAGCATCTGACATTTTCGTTCTCACATAAAGCTCCCCCAGAAACTTTCCAGAATCCACTGTATGTCTGAGAGGATTTAAATTCACACGACAGACACATCTCTACCGGACTCGAGAAGTACGGCACATAAACCCCCTCCACTGTTTCCAGTGTTAATGCTAAGCTAACCAGCAGCATCATGTAACTCTGCAAGAAAAAGATTTAGCATATTTCCAAAATATGTTAGCGTATAGAACACATCTTAATTATATGGGTATTAAGTGTTTGGTAGAAGTAAGTGCAGAAACACAACTCGTACTGTAATGCAAATAAATGAGATGAGTGGTTGAGATGATTGATCACAATGCTGAAGGTCTTCTTCAACTAAATTGCAAAGTGAACTAAATCCAGCGCAGTCTGCTCTTTAAACACACCACCTCCTTTGATGTGAATGTTATACACTTCGCATTTGAACACCTCACTGTGTCTGACATTAAGCTGTGGAGGTCCAAGATCACGTGCACCGAACAAGCGCGTGGAGAACAACTTCCAAAGTGGAGGTTCTCCGTGTCGACAGGCTCCTTTTCTAAACACTTGACACTTCGTCCAAGGCCTCGACGACGGACACATGAGTGGGATCAAGTGTTATAGCGGGACAAAGACCATGATTGTTGTGTCAGGCGGGTATAAGGATGGCGTAGAGCGGGGATAAGGTGACAGAGACTCGGGCAACACTACCTGTACCTGCACCCAGCCAGTGCTGATACCTAATCTAGGGCTTGATTATACAGCAGTAATCTACACCAGCATGAGATCCAAAGGGAATGCTGTCACTGTACTGTACGCCTGCACTTTGTCCCCACTATGATACTCTCTGAATCTGGAACAATGAAAGAAAGAATCATGCAAAGAACCAATTGATAATATATAATTTAATTTTGGTTTGTGAAGCCATTAATTAGCACACACTGTTCTTGTATCCTTTTGAAACAGTGAGTATGAGTATTGACAAAAGGTTGTATGCATTGGGGAGGATTTAAATGATCTAAAAAGTACTTTATCTTCTTTATGTTTGAATCTTTTCACAGTTAAATTAGAGTTTTATGAGAGAAAGGTATATATATAGAATATTTGCATCATAAACCCAACATATAACCTCAATGAAACTCACAACAGGGACTGAGAATTGTATTTTAAAATATGAAAATAGAGCAGTTGTATTCACTGAGTCTGTTTTTAGCATTTTATTATTCTGTTCAAATTCAGGGATTAGTGGAGTATTGTATTGCTGGTGCTGTTTTCATTTTTCCATCACATTTAAAATTTAGAAGGTCACTCAGATGGCACATACCTCCGCCAAGTTCCAACAGTCCCCCTTAAATCCCCTAGATCCAGATTTTTATTTGCACACACTTGTAGATATTAGTCCCGTATACATGGCTGTTTTAGTTTTTTTGTCAAGCTCCATGAATTATTCTCTGATAAATCTGTTGCAAAACTTCCAATGTTAAAGAAAGTGACAACATTTTATGGTTTAACCATACTGTTCCACCAAGTTTCATGGTAATCTGTCCAGTAACGTTTGTGAAAGAGACAAACAACAAATGAAAATGAAACCGTAACCTTCATGGCAGAGATAAGCGATCTAAATTCCTAGACTAGTCGGGGCATGTATACTCTACATTCTATTCTATCTATTTAGAGTTATTATCTCTGTTAATACACAAATAAGGAATCAATCACTGACAATGACTTACGGCCAGACGTAGAAATAATCGTATATATCTATGTATATCTCTGTCAAGCCATTACAATCAACAATAAGAAACATTAAGCCTTGAAAAACAACATTATATGCATAATTGCTATAAACGTTTCCTTTAACCAGTGTTTTAATTTCTCAGGGAGTATTAAAGAAAGTGTTAGCAAGCAAACAGAATAATAATAATGTATATTTATGGAACTGTCTTTATTTGCAGCTCTAAGAACAAAGTGCCCGTCCATGATTTAAAAATCAATGCAGCTGCAGGAGTCTGAGCCTGAAATTCTCAGAGATCTGAATCTGCTGTAATCCACTCATTCTCTGCGATTAGGAGACTAAAGTTCTGTGAGCTTTGCTCCCTCTGATGCTGGAATTCCTGAAAATGTAACACAGGTACTTTAAGTTAATTATCTGTGAACTGGTGAGACTTCCACAGAGTTTCGTGCAATAATTAAATGCTGTGTACTTGATATGATGTGAAAGAGATTTAACAGAAAGAAAAATGTCACATTTGACATTTTCAGGGATTTGAAATGACCCCACATAACCAAACTGTTTTACAATAAAAATTTAAAATAACAACCAAATTAAAGTAGGACGTGTTGTGACAGTAGGTCTGATTATTATGCTATATTTAGCTTTTCTTTTCGTGGTTTGCTGTTTCTTTGGGTTTTTTTAATCAAGACTTGAGTATGTGTGTAATGCATCATTGTATCAGGAATATAAAGCCATTATCTGATTCATCTTGTTCTGTTGTGATTCATGACTCTTATTCTTTTCTATTCTTGTATTACTGCACAGTTCAGTTCATACTGACGTATAAATTAGGCCCCTCATCAAAGAATATTCTTATAATTATAATGAACATTCTAAACATCTCAATATATACTGTAGCCTTTATATATTTCAAGGTAATATATTTTATATGAAACACACTTATAATGCATAGAGATAGACATTTTTTTTATTTGATTATATTTTAAAAACGATATTATATCACAATTTGCCCCAAAACTGCTTATTTTTCATGAATATTTGCTGATTTTGTTTTTATCATCATAAACAGAATTTATTTGGGTTTTGGACATTTGGTCGGACACAACAACTCACATGAAGACATCAGCTCGGACTTGCATTTTTAAGAGAGATAACGCCTCAGTAGAAGAGGTCAAAAAGGCCAATCATTGATCATTATACTGGTATGTATTTGTTGATGTTACTGCTTTAAATTCAGGGGGAGACAATGTCAAAGCCAGTGTCAGAATGAAACTTAAAAAAGGAAGTGCAGGGAAGAGACTCAGAAGAAGTGACAGTGGAGCATGTTCTCTCTCCTCTCACTTTAATTGGTGACATGTTGTTTTAGCTGCAGAGACAGATGAGGACAGACGAGACCTGGAGTAATAGGAGTCATCTGAGCCACTTTCTCAACTTGCAGGACTTCAGACAGCCAGAGGACAGAGTGAAGACAGACAGGAGGGATTAGATGAACACAGACAGAAGTGTGGAGGTAGCAGAGTCAGCGTGATGACAATGAGATGAATAAATGTGTCACCACCATGACCAGGGTGGTCCAACAAAGTGGATGGAGACTGGTGGGTGCATGTAGATAGGAGGTAGTGTACATTACAGGGGCGGTTGTGGATCACGGGGTCTTCCAAAACCAGAATGTTTGAAGGTTTGATCTCTGGCTCCTCCAGTTTGTATTTTGAAGTGTTCTTGGGCAAGATATTGAACCCCAAACTGCCCCCTGCAGGTTGTGATTGGTGTGTGATAGAAAATGTTCAGCATACAGTCCATTAACTATGAAGGACCACTGCTTAGGATTTAGGGGCATCAAGTGGTGAAGTTGCGTATTGCATCGAACTGAATTTTTTTTAATTTTACCTCAGGCCCATGAAACCCTTTCAAACAAATACCCTCTTTAATTGAGATGCTCCTGAATTACTTCATACTAAGGTCATAATTAGTAAGGACGGGTCACAAGTGGACATGTCTTTGTTAAAGGGATCACAAACCAAAAAGTTTGGAAACAGGTTTACAGTAACTTCTGAGTACAGCTGTTGACCAGAGGATGGTGCCAAATCTCTGTCTTAAGAGTGTCCTGTGCAGCGAGACACTTGATGTTAGTTACTAGTCCTTCAAGGTCTATCAAGGACACATGTTGTATTGGATTAATATGAAAACCAAGTGACACGCTGCAACAACATCAGCAGATCTGGCGTGAAGTCACGAAACAAGTCTTAGGGAGTATATGACAGCAGAGGCTCCAGGCTGTGGTGATGGGGATGAAGTGGTGCATGTGTACTCCATGTCATCGTGTGAGATGCTGCTGACGTCAGACGGTAAATATGTTGATTCAGTTATTTAACTTGAGGAACAAAGTGGATTTTGGGCCCATTCAGCCTCCAACAACCTCTGCATAACCTCTCCGCTTGTTCTTCTTTCACGTTCATCAGTTCAGACAAACATATTCCAGGTGTCCAACTCTGCATCCAATCACGTCTACATCCTTCTCTATCCACATCTGATTTCATCTTTCTCGTTTATTCTTTCCCTCAGGTGATTCCAAAACCTTTGTTGACATCGATTAATATATTTTCTTTTGTAAACTCTTGATCTAATTATTTTAAGTACGCTGTAGATCTGAGGTTTTCCGTGCATTTCTTTTTGATGCATTTGATTTGAAACAGCCTTGCTACCTTTTTATCTGCAGTATTTCTTCAGCAAGAAGAAATGATTAGCAATTGGAAGAACATATAGTCAATTTAGGCCTTCACTCCCTCTGCTTACATCCACCTCTTCTCTTTCCAACATCAGCCATCACTCTTTGGAAACCCCTCTCTGTTAGCATCTACAACTCTCAGCTCAATTGATCCGACAAGGATTGATCCTTCAATTTAGATCAAATTGAGCCTGACGTTGTTCAGGAGAAGAGTACATGCTGTGTCTATTATGGTCAAATAGGCAAAAGATAACTTGCTGCCAAACCCAATTTCCAGTGACCTCTAAAGGTAAGTGAATGGATGGAAAACCCAATTAACATCAGCCTGTAGAGAACGATGACGAATTGTATTTGAGGATCTTACTCGTGTTGTTGTTCCCCGTCAATATCCAGATACCAGCTGAGGCAGCCACACCCACACCAATAACAGTACACACACTCGGCTGTTGAAATGCTTTAAATTGCCAGGGCTATCCGATGATTGCCTTTATGGATAACCCCATTGATTTTTCTCCATTCAATTACTCATTCCGAGGTGAAAGATAACTCTATTAAGGGACTTGAGGCTTGTAAGAGGTCACTCTGAATTAGGATGCAAGCTTCCTATGCCAAAACGCTCTCAGGCTGATTAGGGCTGTAAGTGTTTCCACTCCTGTGTGTTTGATTCTCCTGCTGATAGTTTAGGGACACAATGCCAGCCAAAAGTCAGAGTAATAGCTTTGAGCGGTGGCGCTCGACCGAAAGACAGCAACAGATGGACAGGGGAGTATAGAAGAGGGCAGTGTCTGAGCTCCCATTTGTCTAAGGCCCTTGAGATGAACAGTAAAGATAAAACTGAGACTCTTTGGCTTATTTTTTTGCAGCCACAGGAGAAACACAATGTTTGAATTGTGTCTGCATGTCCTTGAAGATGTTCAATATCTCAAATGAACCTCACTGTGACGTTAGAGGCTTTGGTGTATTAATGCGTTATCTGCTGAAGCTGCAGCAGTGTGACTAAAACTGAAAAGAGGCCATGCATTGTGGGATATTATAAAATGTTTTACCTTGAGGGGCATCTCGTGGGGCCTACAAGGTATAAAGTAGCTGATATATATCAGAGCCACGTGGTTTTGAATGTGTCCATTTGTGTTATTAAAGGGGAACTGGTTGCAATTTTGTTTTGCACTTGCATGATTACAAAACTGAGTTACCTTGAGCCTCTGTGCCTGTTAAGTGTCCTCATCTTTAACATTTCACACCCTAACTGTGAACACAGACTCATTATACCATGGGGGTTATTGTTTTAGGCTTCTAGAAAGCTCCCATCAGTGCAGCAGATGACATAATACAGCTCTTTTTAACAAGCCGAGTGGTATTCTCCACGACAAGTGACCTTTTTGGTAGAGCATCCCTTTAAGGCAGCGTGTTGAGAGCATTGTGTGAAAGCAGAAGGCTAAAAAACGAAAAGTTTTACAGATCCACGGTTTGTATCCAAAGCCTGGTGGAAGAAGATGAAACAAAGTGTTGGTGTCTGTTCAGTGTCAGGCTCAGTCTAAAGAAAACAAAGTGGTAAATATAAAGTACGTGTTTGTCTGAAAACTCTCGTCTTTGCCCTTTCTACTGGTTGTGCAGCCAGGACTAGAAGGAACTGGAGGAAACCAGATATTTTGCAGTGAACCCTAACACTCTGACACAAAACGGTGTGTAGATGATAACGTCTCCGACATGCTCTGCTGCAGTGGACGCTGCAAACCATAATCCAGAGCTTTGTTGACAAAGCAGCATCTGTGCATCTGCCCTGTCTGGAGAGGCTCAATGAACAACAAAGCCTTCAGAATCTTACAATGAAAGTTTGACAAAGATCAAGATGATAACTACAATCCTATGTATGTACGTATGTCTACAGAACCTGTTTGGACAGTGGCTGTGCAATGCATTTACACAGGGAACAGGTATTTGAAAAACTATGCCACTTCTTTGTATTCAGATGTGGGTATAAAAATAAACAGTATGAAGAAAGAACTGCAGTCATAATTTATATATTTTAAAAACATCATATGTCCCCATGATTTGTATTAATTGGATACAAGTATGAATGTTAAGTAAACTGCCTGATGCAGATGTTTGGTAAAGCAGGATCACGGTATTTAACAGTTATTATTCAACTTATAACAATCTCAAAAGGGAAAAGGGCCTCATGGCGCTATGAAAATCACACACACACACACACACACACACACACACACACACAAACACACGCACACACATTTGTGCAGCCGTCCTTATTAGGACTTCACATTGACTTCCATTCCATGTGAACAGCTAAACCAAAACCTTATCACTATTCTTAGCCATGACGAATTCATGCCTTACCCTAACCTGACCTGGCCACAACCCTCATAACTTACCCATTACCTTAACCATAGTTACTACTAACCTAACCCTAACCTGACCTAAACCCGAACTTAACCGTATCCTCACCATCACCATAAAACATGTCTTCATCTTAGAATGTAATGATTCTCATTCTTGGGGTCTTGCTTTTTGTCAAGACTCAATATTTAGGTCCTCACAACATGAGTAATACCTGGACACACACACACACACACACACACACGCACACACACACACACATACACACACACACACACACACACACCCTCCTCTGCTCCTCAGTTTATCTTCTTCCTCTGCTCATTCATATCCAGCTCTCTCTCTTTCTCTCTCTCTCTCTCTGTGTGTGTCCAGCTCTTAGTCCAGGCTCCGTGATCAAAACTCCATTTTAACACTTCAACCAGTGAGAACTTCACTTACCCGAAACCTCGCGGGATATTTTCACCGGTGGACGAGATCATTGTTCCGTTGGTTGTAATTCGGCGATGAGGATTTCGACCTTGTGTCACCGGTTGACTGGCGAGGTCCCAACGTGCATCCGGCGTTTGTCTGACGGACGGGAGCGGCTCCATATGCGGGTCTGAGGAGGGGAAGGTGGGTGAGTGAAAGAGAAACTCCTGTTACTGAGGAAACATTCACTAAAAATCAGATTTAATAGAAAACTGTGGAGAAAACAGACCAAAACAACGAGACGAATCTGTTTCCAGGTCAGTTAGGAGGAATTTGGAGCTCATGCTAAGTTCGTTGAGTTAGCTCGTTAGCTTAAACTAACATCTACCTGCAGGTTCGTTTACCTGGATGTTAGCTTCGCTCGGTTATTACAAGAACCAAGTTAATATAATGTGTTCTGTAAAATTATTTATTAGCATCAAAAAGCATTAAAGTTCATCAAGGGTAAAACTCATTGACCGTATTTTCTTTGTAACTTAAAGCTGTAGTTGTATTATTCTGTTTTCTGTGAATTAAAGGGTCTTAACTTCTATTTCCACTTTCAATCGATCTGTCATTTATTTTGTTATTTAATTATGTATATATTACACTATGTCTCATCCAGGAATTGGAGGAGAAACACTCAATGGAGCTTGACAATCTTAGATCCTCCTTGACTCTNCATGAAATGTTATAAGTGAAAAATGTTATTAAAAAAATCCACTGACTGACAGACAAGATATTTACTCAGCTAAAGATAATAATGACTAAAAAACAACATTCAATTCATTTCAATGCATTTATTGTTGTTGCAGTGTTCAATTAAATGAAGTGTCCCATTGGTACAAATAGCAACGTAACACATTACAAAATATAACAGTCTAATACATACTTTGAAAAACACACTAGACTTTTTCACATTTCCAAAAAAAACCCTAAGAATATGTGACTTGTATTTTTTAAACGAACTGGTAATTAGTATCTACATGAACATAATTGCTACTGAGGAACGTCCTATTAATTGAGTATTGAATTATTTATTCATCTTAATTTGAAGCCTTTAAAAAACATGATTTGTGAGAAAGTATATAAAAGCGATTGGAAGAACATAAAGGCTTAAACTCGGCAAAAAACACTTTACAAGTAAAAGCTTTGAGAAACAAAATTATATACTGTATTACCAGCTATAAAAGCTGTGAGGATTTTGATGAAACTGATTATTTTTTCTTGGTGTTATCTCTGTTCGCTTTACAGGCACACAGGGTTTGAAATTGCTCCAAATTCGGGCCGGGAAAACCAGAAGGATCAGAAGAATAAAACAAGTAGAGGTAATAAGAATAATGACTTAAGTTCTTTGGCTATAAGAACACTACGATTTAGAGCTTTTTTTTAAAAAATAATTGAGATTAGTTGAAGCAGTTTAGGAGGAGGAGGAGAAGTCAGCTGTTCATAAAATTATTATTTGTTGTCCACAGACTTTATTTGTGTGTGTGTGTGTGTCTGTTAGATAATAAACAGATTTTACAATCAATTTGTTACTATAATTAGGATAAGTTATACATAAGAAATCTCCTTGTAATCAAATCAAACACTAACATTAAAAAGGTGGTGTTTACTTCCACTGTTAATTACATACATCTAAGATGGGCTTGGGCAGTAATTCTCCAGTTGCCCCTCTGGTTGCTCTCTCCACTAAGTTTTCCGGTTATAGTGTTGACTTTCTACAGGTGGACAAAGTAGCTGTCTTTGCTAGAGGCATGTGTCAAAATCAAATCGTGTTTTAAATGCTGCATCATCCGTTTGTGCTTTGGCATGTTTGAGTGTGTGACTCACAACGTGACCCTAAGACACCCTGCAGGCTTCATGTCTAAAGCAAGTGTCATAGTTATACAGAAAAATGCTGAATTGTAAGTTAGTACATGTGTAGTACTTTTTGTAACTTTACGTCTTGGCCCATTGTTTTATTAGAGTAAGTTGGCCAGGATGTGAATGAAACGTGGTGATGTCTGGATCAGTGCAGGATTTAAAGATAGAGATTTATTCCGCTGGCTGCTGCCATAGTCATTGTTATCTCTGCCAAGGAGGGCGTGTTTTCACCTCTGTCTGTTGGTTTGTACCCAAAGTATGCAAAATCTACACAACAGGTTTCTCTGAATCTTAGTGGAAGGTGGGGTACAGGTCAGGGAAGGAATCTTTATTAACAGTTTCTTTAAAATTGCAGTATAGGGCATTCCTCATCACTGATTTCCCAGGGAATAATTCTATATAATTACATATATAAATTCAGGGTTCATAGGTTTCCCTGACAAACCACTTAGATCTGATTTTGACGTGGTGAAAGGTACCACCTTTCATGTGATCATGACAGGTGTGTCCACTTTGACTATGTAGTCCTAGTGTACCTGCTATTAATCCACCCCAGCACCTCTCTTGTGGGTCATTCTCTCCTCTCATTTCCCATTTTCCCTCCCCATCAGCTTTCTACTGTGTACTATGTGTAATCAAGAAAAAAAAAAAACTCTCCAAAGCATACTAACAAAAACAAGTGCAGTGTCAGCAAACTACAAACATTTTACAGTCGCCTTTCAAGTTAATAGTGGGTAAGCGTTTCATACTCATAAGATAGATGTTGGGTGGAGTATCGGTTTAACTGCTTCGAAAGAAAAACCGCAGGTCTTCAAATTCACAGCTTGGAGCCTTCACAGATACGCTTGTACATGGGTGGCTGCTCTTTTTACTCTTTAACGCTCCTCAAATAGTTCTTTTACTGGCACTGTAGGAAACTGGAGGCTGTTGGTCTGAGGCTGGAAGACATCTGGAGATATGGCCTTGTACCAACTTCTGGCTATCAGTGTGGCACTGCCATCAACCTTCGCTAAGGGCATGTACAAAGTGTTTAATGTAAAAATGTAGCATCTGTGTGGTTAATTTTCTTCTGTCCAGGGCAGTTTCTGGTTTGCATCTGTTCCGGTCATAGACTGTATGGACTGTATGGATCAAAGTACATATACATTTTTACCAAGGGGGTTTCTGTCATCTTTGGTTGTTCTTATCACACAATGTACTTTCAAGTGTTTGTGTTTCTGCATCTGATAAGTTTGATTATTTGATGCTACAAAAACTGGGTGATTGACTTGCAGTTGGTTGAGCCTACGTATCTGTGACTGCTGTGCAGTCTTTGGCTCAAAATGAATCCAGAAGTGCCAGACGACGGGCCTTATTTTTACTACATTTTTGTACAATGCAAGGAAGTGGAGGCGAACCGTCAATCTATATTTACAGTCTATGGTTTGACCCTGTGCTGGGAGGATGAAGCCCTGATTTCCTGTCCCAATAACTACAGTAATGTTGGGAGTGTTGCTTGCCCGAGGGGACCTTTGCTAGTTGTGTCAAATCTGTAATAGATAGGCTGGTGAATAAAATGACTGATATGAATGATCCAGACAACGTTGAAGGTCAAATCTGTCAGTTAAAACAAACATACAAGAATCATAATGACCATCTTCTGCTGTCAGAGAAATCACCTCACCCTCTTGTTTCTGACAAGTCCTGCAACCACTCATCAAAATATTTACCCACAGTGCTACCATTTGACCTAAATTTACATTTTGTACATTATTTTGAAGGTAACCATCTATTCAAAAAAGCAGTAATAACATAGGACACTTAAATTTGCTTGACTTCTTACTTTATTTTTCTTGATGGACTTTGCTGATGAGCTGAAGAAAGGAGTGTTCCCAATTTCTCGCCCCCTTCGCTATAGACTCTTGTTTGGGTGTTGATAGCTGTGCCACTGGGTCTCTAAATAGTACATTACACAACTGGGCCAGATGTGCAGTTTTAAAGGGCTCGTGACTCTTAATGAGACAGTCTGGATTTTTTTTCTTCACACAGTGAGGAACATTGTTAACTCTGGTGTTAGCAGCAGCTGGTCATGTTGTCCTGAGAAACCCTCTCAGTTGAGAGATTTATGGTTGCCATAGTTTTGCAATAAGATTAATTAACCCGCCTGGGCAACCCATTTTTGATTGTTGTAATTACCAAATATAATTGAGTTAGAGAGTTAAATGCACTGATTATGTTAATAATACTTTAGATTGGCACGAGTGGAGAAAAATGTCTTTTACGACATCTGGACAGTAAGATGTTGTAATGACCTACTGTAAAATCAAAAGGCTCATTTCTCATTTTCTCTCTAGATATCATACTCTGTTAATGCTAGGCTTGCCACGCCTGGAGAAGCTAGAGTAGGCTACACTTTGAACATATGCATCCCATCCCACCCCATCCCATCAGTCCTCTCTTCAAAACTGAATTGGTCTAACCAGATATTTGTCTTGTATTTTACTGGTATTAATGTGGATAGAAGTTAAGAGGTAAACCATCTCTGCTCTCTCCACAGGTGAGTAACAGGAGGTGTATGTTGCTGTAGTTTCTGTGCCACTACCATGAGCTGGAGTTTCTTGACTCGTCTGCTGGAAGAAATCCACAACCACTCCACGTTTGTGGGCAAGATCTGGCTCACCGTCCTCGTTGTATTCCGCATTGTGCTGACAGCTGTAGGAGGAGAGTCCATCTACTATGATGAGCAGAGCAAGTTCGTGTGCAACACGGGTCAGCCGGGCTGCGAGAACGTCTGCTACAACGCCTTCGCCCCGCTCTCACACGTCCGCTTCTGGGTCTTCCAAATCATCCTGGTAGCCACGCCTTCACTCATGTACCTGGGCTACGCAGTCAACAAGATTGCACTGGCAGAGGAGCGAGCTGACGGTGGGGAAGTGAGTGGATTATCACGGAGAAAACCCAAGAAGCATTACCTCGGGGGCAGAAAGCAGCACAGGGGTATTGAAGAGGCAGAGGACGACGAAGAGGAAGACCCGATGATCTATGAAATGGCAGAAATGGTGAGCGATGGTGAAGGAGCAGCAAAAGGAGACGGTGGTGAAGAACAAGTAAAGGTCAAGGCACGGCATGATGGACGCCAGCGTATAAAAGAAGATGGGCTTATGCGTATTTATGTGCTTCAGCTCTTGGCCCGCTCTTTGCTGGAGGTGGCGTTCCTGTGCGGACAGTACATCCTGTATGGATTTGCAGTACCTCCGATCTACTTGTGCTCTGACCTGCCCTGCCCTCACAGTGTGGACTGCTTTGTGTCTCGCCCCACTGAGAAAACTATCTTTCTCCTCATCATGTATGTCGTCTCCCTGCTCTGTCTGGCTCTCAATGTATGGGAGATGCTTCACTTGGGCATCGGCACCATCTGTGAGATAGTACGCGCCCGCCAGCTGCAGCTCCCCAATGAAGAGTTGTATGGGAACCATGGAGCTCTGAAAGAGGCCGGATTGGGCGGAAGTGATTACAACGGCTACCCTTATTCTTGGAACGCGGCATCGGCTCCACCAGGGTACAACATTGCAATCAAGCCTATTGTGGTATCTACAAAGAACCACGACAAATCACTGCCCATCACCGACCTTGCTAATGCTAAGATGGCATGCCGACAGAACCACGTGAACATTGCCCAGGAGGAGCGACAGCAGTACTCCAGAAATGATGACATGAGAGAGGGGATGGGAGATGCCTCCAGATGTGTTCAGAAGGAAATCGGTCAGCCTCAGAAAACACTGGAGGCCGAGAGTCAGGCCTACCAGCACCTTCAGAGCCACAATAATAATAACCACAGCATTCCTCACCGTGAACGTAAACACCAGCAGGTCTACAAACACGCCTCCAGCAGGGCAGAGGCAGACAGAGGCAGCAGCAGCACCAGTAGTAACAGCAAATACGGAGTAGTGAAGGGCTCCGAGTGGATCTGAAGTACAGACTGTGACTTTTGTTTTTCTTAAAAACAGTAATCAAAACCTTCATCAGCATATATTTACATCTGTATGTCTTGTATTAAATTGTATTAAAAAAGGACAGGGGAGCCACCTTATAATAATATTCAATGATATTCATGCAATTTAAATAGTTAGTTAAACCAGGAACCGCCCTGTACCAGACACTAAAGCTCTGTCCATCCTGGAGGATGTTCATGTCGACTTAAATTCAGCATGGATATAAAGTGCAGAGGCATTTTTGCTGAAACCTATGGTGCCTTATGTAAACAGTCAAAGAGCTGCTTCCCACTGACTCTGCATCACTTTATGTTCAACTGTTCATAATGATTTTTTACACAATGTCTTCATCACTATGAACTGACAACAGGAGCCTGCATTATGTGGCTAGTTTTCATGACCGTGTTAAAGCAGTATGAATATTTTCACCAAACTTTCATCATTTTCAGTGCTATGAAGAAAAAACTGTGTGTTGTCATTCACTAAATTGACTGTTCTTCTTGTGTTCTCTTTAATACTCTTTATTGGTCAGTGGATTTTTGTCAACGTTTAGTGACCTTAATTTGTTGTTCGTAGTATTTGTGTCGGCCTGTTGCTTTTAGACACATGTGCTGTTTGTGCCATGAAGATCTTTTCAACCATTATTCAATTTGTATTTGCGTCTGGCCTGTTTTTTGGTATTTTTTTATTTGTATGAAAAATTCCTTGTAATTAATACAATCTCTTATTTTCACATTGAGATGCCGTGAAGGCCAGCCCCTGACACTGTGCCATTGTTTCATTTTGTCAAAAGTATTTTTATGAACAAAAGAGTGCATGTTTTGAATAAAGACTTTATACTCGTCTCACATTTTGACAATGTTGTCTTCATGAAAGGTTGTAAAACCTAAAACAATTAATATATTTAATCCATTTCAACATATGGATGTCAGTAGTGAAGTAGAGACAAGTGAATGTGCCACTTTCTTCAGTGGGACTACTGTGTGTTCAGGCACACTGCCCTCTGCTGGGCAGGGAGGCTAATATAATGATTTTTTTCTTGAGTGAGACTCCACAGTATTTACATTCTCCGTAATATATTTCTATATATTTACATTTTTAGAGGGAAGTAAAACATTGCTAGGTCACATGAACAAATTTGTCAAAGTATATGACCATTTTATAACTTGATGTCAACTTTTTATTTTATGTCCTCATGATAAATCCTATTTTTGTTTGCTTAGGATGCTTTCATATCTACAACCTATTCTTGTTCTATTGTTTAACCATCTCTGTGCCTGAGATAAGTCAGAATCCGTGTTGGTTGATATGGTCATCTCATTTTCAG